TTCTCTAACAAAAAAGTGCTTGAGTTGATTTTCCATGATAATGAGGTTTGTCACAATGTTCTATTTTTATTAAATTACGTGCTTATTTTTTTATATAGATTATTGTAATTATTTTGTTTTTTTCAGGGTGATAGGATAACCGGTCTCATAAGGCCCGTTCACATATCTCATTTTATTGATGAGCTTAAGGATGGAGAAGCTTATGCCTTCAATCATTATCAAGTGGAGAGTACCATAGGCATTTACAAATCAACTATTGGCAAATTTCAGATCATTCTTCATAGGGGAACCGAATTCTATAAACTAAAGACCTCATTTCCACTCTATCGATTCTCTTTTAGAGAATTTCTCACGTTGCGTGATATAGACAACGTCAACGAAGCAATTTTGTTTAGTAAGTCCTATACAAAATTTATTCATAAGAATATACTTATTTATTATCTCTTAAATTTTTTAGTTATGAATTGATGTATATTAATAGATTTAAATAAAATTTATCTTGTGTAGATGTTATTGGCTTGGTGGTGGAGACCCATCCCATTCAAATAAAAAATGATTAATTTCATTCTTATGGATTTGGGTTAGCTGTTTCGATTTATTTTGTTCAAAGTTGCACTCGATTTTTATAGCTTCTTATTAAAATTATTTTATTTTATTATTTTTAGTGGACTTTTCATGACATGTACCGTTTGGGGAGCGTATGTGGATCAATTTATTACTTTCGAGAATTACTATGTGGAAGCAAATCAACCATTTGTCTTGGTCATACAAATGTGTCGTGCAAAGTCTTGGAATGGAAATTTATTTTTAATTTTTTATTTCTCGAAAATAAACATGAAATTTATTTAATTATAATTTTTAATTATGAGTATTGCTTAACAATTACTTTTTTCTTCATTTGGTGAAGTTCAAATAACAACTTCAAATGATATCACACATTTGATTGGTGTTCACGATATTCCCAAAGTTCAAGACTTTCTGGAAAAGTAAATTTATGTCTTACATTGTGGTTATGATATATTTATATATTATATTTTAAATAAATATCTTTTTTTGTAAGATGTCAACTAGCAAAATCAAAGGTGTGAAGCTTAGATCGAATAGCTCTTTAGTTGTCAAGAGTGAAGTTCAAGGACTTGAGGATGGTGAAGTCACCGTTAGCTCTGTTGATTCTATCCATGAGACTAAAGAGGTAGTATAATATAAATATTCCGATTTTGTACTTATAATACCGGTTTTGTATAATAACATTCCGATTTTGTTTATGTTTACAAATTTAATGTTTTTATTTAAAGGATATGGATACTTGGGTTTGTGCCTCAATCGACTCTGTTATTGATAATTGGTGGTACCTTGCTTGCAAAAGATGCAATAGCAAGATGGATATTGAAGATGGTGATATGCATTGCACCAAGTGCACTAACACACGTGGCATTGCACGGTTGGAACAACATTTTTTATTTTTGTCTTTTCGCATATTATTAGTAATAGTTTACATTTTTTATTGTTTTTTTTTAAAGGTACAAAATTCAATTTGAAATGAAAGTTTACTTATAACTCTTATAATTATTATTAATAGTTTGTTGTAGAATAAAACTGTTTTTGAGCTGCCGGATGATCTAGAGGACTTGGTTGGGGGAACCTTTCTTTTCAAGGTCCGAATCAAAGCAAATAATAATGAAAAAAAAGGGCTATTCATCCAAATTTGGTTTCCAAGTACAACCATTGGGTTGTAGAGTATGATGTAAGTTTGTATAATTAGATTTAACAATTTAATTATATTCCTTTCGAAATGCTTACATGATTTGAAAAATAATTATGATGCTTTTTCTTTATATAATTCCGATTTTATGACCCTTTTACGAAGGGAGGAAGCTACTAAGCTTAGTATAAATACTTATAATTAAATACATTTACTTATAAGTTAAGTTTATTTTCTTTCAAGTTTATACTTGACTTTATTTTGAATAGGACGATGATGAAGAGGAAGTTATTTTACCGCTTAAAACTGTTCGAGCTGTTGAGCAAGTTAGTGACACATCCAATGCAAAACGCAATTTGATGGATGAGTTTGCTATTGACCCCGAGGCTGGACAAGCTGAATCCGTGACGAGCAAGATGGGCAAGGCGAAAGTTGATGACTATGGGAACTTACTCTCTACTGATGGAGGAAATAATAATTAGATGTTTGGTTTTGAACTAGAAGACAATTTTATTATGTTTTTTTCTCCTTGGATGATTTTTTTTTTCGATTGTTTGGTTAGTTTAATAAGGTTTTTGATATTTTGGAACGAATATTTGCAATTTTATTTGCTTCTTGGTTGATGTCTCTAGGAAACATATATTTTTCGAGATTTCAATCCTTAATAATAAAGTTGATTTCACCATTAAATTACTATGTGTGTTTATATAGATTTAATTTCATTATTCGTAAGCTTCATTTGATTGTCTACAAATATTTTTTTCAGTTCAATTGTAATTTTTTAATTTTAGATTATTTGTAAGAAAATTTTCCTTATACAGCCTACATCTCTCTCTTCAACGGCGATTTTCCCCTTTTCCCTTCCGCATCGTGACCTAATCCTTGTCGGCGATCCGCGCCTCTCCCAGCGGGCAATCGCTTAATTTGACGGAACTCTTCGAGTTGTGCTTGAAGGTCGCCGGAACCCCTATGTGGCGAGGCTGGGTGGAGCTTGGCGACGGTGGCTGGATGTGGCTCAGACCCAGGTTGCTGGCGTCCTCTTTTTCTCGGGTGAGTCCTCCTTTCAATTTCTGTCGATGGCCCGTCTCTACTTCTGTGGGTTGGCAGCGGTCGATTTTGGTTCTTGGCTCGCTGGCTCTCTGGTGTGGCAGTGGTGGACTGGGGTTCGCTTTCAGGGGCTGGGAGGGGAGCTCGGTGCTCGGATTTGTGATGGCGGTGGCGGACTGGCCGGGGCTTGGAGGTCGATTCTTGTTCCTTTCTCCCCTATTTCTCTGGTGCTGAGTCCGGGGGGGATCATTGTTGCCGGAGTGGGCTAGTGGTGTTAGGCCATTTCGGGACGGTGGTGGGTCTGGGAGGAGTCGATTTCCTTTAGGCTGGAGAGCGGGTCGGTTTTTGGATTGACTCGGGGTGTGAGTCTTCGCCTTTGCTAGGCGTTCGGCAGTAGTGGCGAGCACGGTTCTTGTGTCCCGGATCTATTCTTGGAGTCGTCTATTGTCCCCTCGTTCAGTTAGGGTGTTCGGCTGAGGGAGGGCTTGATTTCTTAGTTGTTTTTATGTTTAGGTGTGTTTGTTTGTTTGTTTGTGTCTATGTTGTGTTGTTTTTGGTCTTGTGTTTTTGGTTTGGACCATTTGGTCTTGGTGCGCCCGAGTGTCAAACTTATTATCCTGGTGGGATCCGACACTCGGGTATTACCCCGGTGGGGTCTTTTTAGTTGTTTTAGTGGTTGGTGTTGTTAGTTAGCTTAGTTGCGAGTGTTTGTATTCTAGCGTTGCTAGCCGGGATTCTAGGCGGTCAGAAGGTAAGCTCTATATAAATTTAAATTATTCGTAAGCTTTATATATATATAATTTCATTATTCGTAAGTTTAATGTTTACATAGATTTAATTTCATTATTTGTAAGTTTTATATAGATTTTAATTACTATCGGTTTAGTAGACCAAATAGATAATTATGAAGAGTTAATGGTCTACTTGAAGGAATGGTTTAAAAATCCGAAGTGATGGATCAGATATGATGAACATGTGATGACAAAGGTTTGCGGTTGATCACATTCGTGCACTTATGTACATTACCAAAAGTACGTATTAAGTACTAAACGCGTACAATAACTGACTATAATTAAAAGATATTACTAACAAATTAATATATAATTGTAACTTTTATTTATTGGAAATAACAATTTCCTACGTCACATTTTTTAATTTTTCTTTTCAGAATAACAATATATATTTATAATAAATTACGATTTGAATAGATAATTTGAATATTACTACGTATAAATACTACTTAATGATTGTCAGACATGGAAAACGAAATATAAATTTATAAATATTATTTTGCGAATGTCGAATGGATTATTTTTGTATGTATACTTAATATAATCTTCAAGTTGTAGACTAATTACATAGAGTGATTCATTTTTCTAATGTACATAATTATTTATCTCAACTGTATATTTAGTTTCCAGAAAATTATAATGAAATCTGATATACTTCTAAAGATATGGTCAAACACCTAAAATCTCTTATAAATATTATCATTATCTCAAAACTACAGTTTGATATCGGTATTTTATGCTATTGAAACTCTACAGGTACGACTATTCTCACTCATCTGCAGATTTGTATGTAGTGCGAGTTAATCCATTTGATAAACATATTATCTATAAACGATTAGGTTTAACTCTGCAAATTATTTTTTGCAAGGTTTCAAAGGATTTCTATAAAATATGAAGGATAACAAAGCTGGGAAAAAAGCGGATCTCACACAAAAACAACCATATGATTCAACAAAGCGAGATAAAAATCAAATCGAAAAAGGTAATTTAGATTCACCATTTTTTTTCCAAACTTTACCTGTTCTGTGAAGAATGATGTACTTTGAAGAAGGATTACCTTAGTTATGGATTAATATTGTAGAGGCCGTCTCTTTTTTGCATCATCGTCCTCGCACTGATGAATAAATTTATGTCAGATTTTCAATCAATTTTTTACATCTATATCTATTAATCAGTTCATTGCAGTATTAATTTTCTTGATAAAATAAATAATACATTTTATGACCAGTAACACATATAATAATGAAGCCACAATCAATTATCTTTTAAAGGTTAATATAAATATAAGAAACATCTGTGTGTGATTAAGTTGCTCAACATAAGAAGTTCTGTTGGGGAGGATAGGAAACAGATGTGGAGAGTGTGTTGTCTGCTGCTGGTGACTTAGGGCCTGGATACGTTGTAGTTGTGTAATGTTGTTTTTTGTTTTAATTTTTTTAATTAAACATAAACATATTTAGGGTCAATCTTTATCTTTTGATGTCGATGAACACTTTTGCTACCAGATTGTTATGCACTTGATTGTTCTACCTTCGGATCCCTCTAGTAGGTTAGCTTATATGTTATCTATAAACAAAAATTTATAAAATGTTAAAGAAAACCATCATATGAGGATATAAACTTATATCATATAGTATATCTAATGCCTTATTGTAAAATACTTACATATAACCCAAACCTTATTTGGTGTTCTCCGAGTATTTTGCTGCTTAGTGTAATTTAACCAATGTCCTTGCTCCGAGTATTCTCATGCATTAAAACAAATTGGTTAGAATTTAAAGATTGAACTTACAGTTGAACTTAGAACATGTACTCTAAACAAATTCAAGCTTAAATCTAAATCTGTGTGATCATATTTAGTATTACACATTTCAAATATACCAACTATTCATTCACATTACCAATTTAAAAGAATTTGTTCATCCATTTGTTAATCAAATGTGCTCTTTAGTCAGACAGACAGAAAATTCAACCAAGTTTCGCAGAATTCAAACAAGTGTCACAAAAAAACTATATGCTGGCAACATGCATATATTTCGAGGCTATCAAATAATTTGAACCATAAGCCAGTCTATGAAACCATTTTGAAACCAAAAGTTCAAAAAATGTTGAAAAAACATGATATGAGGATATAAACTTACGGTTTTGCTATGGAGCCATCGGATGGCTCGGCTTATGGAGCCATCCATAGTTTTCCACAAATGGTGTATTGACACGTGTCCTGCAATAAATACACATTGGACACGTTTCAATACATAAAGATATGGATGACTCCATAAGGGAGCCATTCGATGTCTCCATAGACTTTCTGTATAAACTTATATCTTATATTATATCTAATACCAATTTCAAAACATTAGTTCATGCATATGTTAATCAAATGCGCTCTTCACTCAGAGAGACAAAAAATTCAAACAGGTTTCGCAAAATTGGAACAAGTATCACAAAAAAACTATTTGCTTTCAACATACATATATTCCGATCAAGTAAGTGGATTCGAACCACAATCAGTTAACGAAACTAAACAACAAACAATTTTTTTTTTTTTTTTTTTACACAAGGAACATTTGAAAAAATATTAAAAAATTATAGATCTACCATAAACATACAATTATTCAGCGAATTACAACAAATTCGAAAATGAAGCTTCAAATAAAAAAAATTACAAAGGTTATCGTTCTTACGTTTTTCACATGTGCCCAACTAGATCTTTGATTTCCATTTAATCACAGTGATTGGAAGTAAACATCGATACCTATTTCAATTTTCACTTATTTTTTTGATAAATAAAATAAATTCTTGTGAAAAAGAAAATCGATTTGGTCGCTATTTACAACATTAGAAGGCTTACTGAACATAAAAGGACAACTATTCTATAAAATCCTAACAGATTTGTAAAGGAAAGATCATTTTCGAACAACCAAATCGAGAGAGAGATAGGTCCAAGCGGCGACGAAATCGGAGAAGAAAGAGGAAGTGAAACCCAATCGGTGCTTCGGTCAATTTATATCATTTTGTTATCCGATATCAGCCGTTCGATTCTACTGAATAAGTTCTGGTCGTCCGATCTCGAATGTGACTTTAAAAAAAAAAAATCGGACAAATGTTGGAAGTTGGGCTGAAAACTAAAAATCTGGCCCAACTGTATGAATTAGAGTTTGGGCCAGATTATTTAACAAAACATGCGGCCCCATTATATGTAAAGTAATTTGGGTTTTACCTATTAAGTCCAAATACTGTAATTATTTAGCCCATTAGATTAAGTTTCAAAATTATTTTTATACTATGAAATTGGGCTTTAATTCATGGTCTATATAAAATAAGAAAATGTTATTTAGGCCACACTTATAAAATAGATTTTTAATTTATATTTTCTCAATAAATTTTCTAATAATAATTTTTAATTTTTAATTGTGCAATATTTTGTGTATCTATTATCTTATTTGTGTATAATTTTAATTTTTATAATGAATTAATAATAGATTATAAGTTTTTATATTAATAGCTGCTTTATATTATGAATATTATTTTTCTACAGGAATTTGTACACCATCTCTTATCAGTGGAGCATCATTTATTCGTCAAGAAAACAGCAATCGTTTGGGCAGTGTTTCATATCAATATAGAAGTGTATTGCATACTACTCAAAATGTACCATTGTTAGACATCACCAATGGTAAAAATTATTAAAAAATAATTTATCATTTAATAGTGTATTTATTTATACATTAATAAATAAATATTTATATATTACCTAGTGTGATATATGTATTTGTTATTATAATTACTCGCAGAAAATTTAGGACTGTCACCCTTCATTGATCTTAACAATGATGATGTTAAAGACGTTTTGCTTCTTAGTCCTGATAGTATATTCAAGCAACCACAAGGTAATAAAAAATGTCCATTTGGATGTTTTGTTTATTTTTATGTATTTTTTTTAAATTTGAAAAGTGCCCTTTTATAACTATTATGTTTGAATTACTGTAGTTATTGATTCCCATGCTGAGATATTGAATGACCGTGCTGATGCTCAAGTACCACTTACGACTGTTAAAAGAAAACGTGATCGACCTAAAAAATTTTAGGAAATACGTTCGCACAAACTGGTATGTTGTTATTTCAATATTAGATTTATCACTTAGTGCAGTATGAGTTTTTTTTTTTAATGTCAAATATTTTGTAATTTTCTACGTTTTCCAAATCATGAAAAAATAACCGGCACTCCAAACACTACTATTTCAAGTGAGATATTCGATCATCGTGCGGACGATCAAGTACCAGTTACGACTCTTAAAAGAAAACGTGGTCGACCTAAAAAAATTCTAGGAAGTATGTCCACGTCAACTGGTATGTTGTGATTTAACAACTTAATTTATCACTTATTGCAGGATATTTCAGTATAAATTTTTGAAGTAAATATATTTTTATTTTTTACGTTTTCTAGAACTTGAAAAAATAACCGTCACCCCAACTCCATACATGAATATATCGAGTGACTTATTGGATCACACTGTTGACGGTCAACTACCATTTACGGAACTTAAAAGAAAGTGTGGTCGACCTAAAAAGGTTCTAGGAAGTACGTCCACACAAACCGGTATGTTGTTATTTAAATAATTGATTTATCACTTATTGCAGTATATTTATGTATGATTTTTTTAACAATTTTTCTTTTCAATTATGTACGTTTTTTAGACCTTGAAAAAATAACCGTCAATCCAACGCCATACCCAACTATATCGAGTGAGATATTGGATCACACGGCTGACGATCAAGTACCACTTACGTCTCTTAAAAGAAAACGTGGACGACCAAAAAAAAAAATAATTGGAAGCACGTCCACACAAAATGATACGTTTATGAATATTATTATTTTATTTGTGAATTATATAATTATATTTAGTGGTCAGTTTTGAATTAATTATGTTTATGTTATTGTAGGTGTTGATTTTCGTGATCAAGTGCCACCTACCAATCAAAAGAAAAAACATGGTCGACCTAAAAAAGTGTTGGCGAGCACTTCTGCACAATCCGGTTGGTTATCATTTTAATTTTGATTTTATGACAATTTTGTAAATTAATTTTACTATATAATATTAAAATATCCTTCATCATAACAATCGTAGAGTACTGGGACATGGGTGATGCCAACGTCGAATGCATGTACTGCGGAGTAATGTTTTGGTATGCTGAGAGAATGTCTTCTGAGAGAACGTCGTCTGTTACCAAGTACGGTGGTTGTGTGAATGGTATGATTGAACTCCCTGTTCTACATAATCCGCCACAATTTTTGAGTGAATTGCTACATGGAGATAGTCGCGTTACTTTCAAGAAAACATTAGATCCTACAACAGCATGTTCGGCTTTACTTCTCTGGGAGGTAAGATCAATACTGATATCAACAAAGGATCGGGACCACCCGTTTTCAGTTTGCACGGAAAAAACTACCATCTCATGGGTAGTTTACTTCCTTCTGAAGGTTCAACTCTAAAATTTGCTCAGCTCTATATATATGACACTGATAATGAAGTAACCAACAGAATGAATGCTGTGAGGTCAGTATTTAAATAATATCCTCAATCGAGTTTTTATTAGTTTTCTTTAATAATATTTGATTTGATTGGCTTAAAAAAATTCTTTCATTTTTCAGAAATGTTGACGGTGCTACTGATTTGAATGGAGAAATTATTCCTGGATTGACGACCATGTTGGATGAACATAACGAACTTGTGAAATCATTTCGTTTGGCTAGAGAAAAAATTCAAGATCATGGCGAATCAAATGTCAGGATTCGTTTAATTGGAAGGAGATTCAATGATGCCAGACGTTATAACTTGCCTACAAGTTCTGAAATTGCTGTATTGGTCGTTGGAGATTTTGATCTGGCTATGGGTGAGCGAGATATATTGGTTGAAACCAAGAGTGGACGACTACAGTGAATAAATGAGCTTAATGCTTCATATCTGGCTTTACAATATCCCTTTCTTTTTCCCTACGGTGAGGATGGCTATAGAGAAGACATTCCATTTTCAGATCGGAAAGTTGAAAAAAAGCGTGGTCGAAAAACATTGAGCTCCCGGGAATACTTCGCTTACCGGATCCATGATCGGAAACACGAACCATCTACTATTCTTTTAGCGAGAAGATTGTTTCAGCAGTTTGTCGTTGATGCATATACCATGTTTGAATCATCGAGGTTGCGGTATATACGATTCAATCAGAGTCGACTCCGATGTGATATTTACAATAGATTGGCGGATGCTATTCTCCAGGGCGATGTCGATCCAAGCTCTAGAGGAAAAAGATTTATACTTCCTTCTTCATTCACTGGGGGACCTCGAAACATGATTCAAAACTATTAGGATGCAATGGCAATTTGTGGATGGGTAGGTTATTCCGATTTGTTTATAACATTCACATGCAATCCAAAATGGCCCGAGATTGTTCGTGTTTTGGAACCAAAGAGACTGCGACCTGAGGATCGCCCGGATATTATATGTAGGGTTTTTAAATCAAAATTGAAGGAATTAATCAGGGATTTTCGTAAAAATCAAATTTTCGGCAAAATCATAGTAGGTATTATTTTAAGAAAAAAAAATTGTTGTATATATGTCCATCGTGGTGTCTAACACCATTTTAAAAAAATGTTCTAATTGTTTTATCTTCTTTTGTGTTTTGTAGTTGTCTACACCATTGAATTTCAGAAGCGTGGATTGCCGCATTCTCATATACTACTATTTCTCGCCAAAGAAAATAAATTCCCAGATCCGTCAGACATTGACAGAGTAATATCTGCGAAGATACCTGATGAGACGTCGGATCCATTGTATTATGAGGCAGTGAAAGAGCACATGATATACGGACCTTGTGGTTTGGCTAGAAAATCCTCTCCGTGCATGGTGTATGGCAAATCTAGTAAACAGTTTCCTAAAAAGTTTGTCGATTTAACCACTGTCGACCATGAAGGTTATCCACAATACAGAAGTCGAGACGATGGAAGGCATATTGAAAAAAATGGTGTCGTTGTCCATAATGGTTATGTTGTGCCTCACAATCGCAAATTGTTGATGAAATATGGAGCGCATATTAATGTCGAGTGGTGCAATCAATCGCGATCCATAAAGTACCTTTTCAAGTATGTCAATAAAGGTCATGATCGTGTCACCGCATCATTCTATCAGACGACTGCGTATGGAGAAATATAAAAACTTGTTGACGAGATCAACATGTTCTATGACTGTCGGTATGTGTCTTCTTGCGAGGCGGCGTGGAGGCTATTGGGTTATGAACTGCAGTACAAAAAACCTTCTGTGCAACGTCTGGGTTTCCATTTGAAAGGTGAACATAATATTGTTTTTGATGATGATGATCCTATTGATGAAGTTCTTAATAATCCCACCGTCAATGAGAGCCAATTTTTGGCATGGATGGAAGCGAACAAGATTTATCCCGAGCCGAGGAAACTGACATATGTTGAGGCGCCGAGAAAATTTATTTGGAACAAACAAGAAAGAGTCTGGACTCCTCGAAAGGCCAGGTTGTATAGGTCGTTTGAGCTATGTTCCTCCCAATGCTGGTGATAATTATTATTTGAGGTGTTTGGTCAATGTTGTTCGTGGAGCTACTTGCCACGAGGATTATATGAAGGTACGCGATGTTCAATACATGTCCTATCGCGATGCTTGCTATGCATGAGGTTTGTTGGGTGATGATCGAGAGTACATTGATGGAATTACCGTAGCAAGTCAGTGGGCATCTGCTGATTCTCTTAGGCGCATGTTTGCGTCTTTATTGGTTTCTGGATCCTTAGGCAAACCCGATGAAGTTTGGGAACAGTGTTGGCAATTTCTATCTGACGACATACTATACAAGCAACGTCGTCTTTTTGATAATGATGGTATAAGATTTAGGGCGTTTTATATTATGCATTTATCAAGTATTATAGTAACATCATTTTTCTTAATTATTAAATTTTTTTTTGTATTCCACGTTAAAAAAACGAAATCTAATAGGTCATCTATCATTATTTCAGGTTTGAAGCTGGGTGATGCAGATATAAAAAATTTAGTTCTTGCAGAGATTGAGTCATTATTGAGACATCGTGGCACAAGCCTTCGGGGCTATTCTATTATGCCTTTTCCAGATATGAGTAGTATTAATTCAAGTGCGAACCGTCTGGTTATGGATGAACTTAACTATGACTGTAAGGCTCTAGCTAATGAGCATGATGAATTGCTGAAACATATGACCGATGAACAAAAGGGTGTTTATTCCAGAATAATGACATTTGTTGATTCCGGTAAGGGCGGCGTGTTTTTTGTTTATGGTTATGGTGCAACTGGCAAGACATACTTATGGAGGACTTTAGCTGCTGGGCTAAGATTGCGCGGTCGAATTGTTCTTTGTGTTGCATCAAGTGGAATAGCATCTCTCCTGTTGCCGGGTGGTCGAACTGCACATTCTCGATTTGGCATTCCTCTTTCTGTGCATGAAAATTCATCATGTGATATCAATCAGGCTAGTCCCCTTGCAGAGTTGATTATTCGCTCTTCATTGATCATATGGGATGAGGCCCCTATGATGCACAAGCATTGTTTTGAAGCTGTTCAAGCTTCTTTTAAGGCATTAATGGGAGCACTCGACCCGGCAAATCATCATAAACCGTTCGGAGGCAAGGCTGTTGTGTTTGGTGGAGACTTTCGACAAATCCTTCCGCTAGTTCCAAAGGGGAATCGTCAGAAGATTGTTAATGCTGCTATTAATTTTTCTACCATTTGGGGAGACTGTACTGTGCTTAGACTTACAAAGAACATGCGTCTTCAGAGCATTGGCGATTCGAATGAACATGACGAGCTAGCCGCTTTTGCTGATTGGATAGCGAGCATCGGAGATGGCACATTGGGGGGTACAAATGATGGATGTGCTCCGATAGACATACCAGATGATCTATTACTAGAGCCATCCGATGATCCAATTGCATAAATTATTGAAAGCACGTATCCGATGTTCAAGAATCTATAAAGGTAGGGCTATACGTGCGCAAACACTCGAGATCGTAGAATCTATAAATGCATACATGCCGTCGTTGAATTTGACTGAAGGACGCACGTATTTAAGCTCAGACAACACGTGTAAATCTGACTCCAACTTTCTGGCACAACTCCATACTCCTGAGTTCTTGAATACTATCAAGTGTTTTGGAACACCGAATCATGAGTTGAATTTAAAGGTTGGAACTCCAGTTATGTTGTTGCGGAACATGGATCACTCAGTGGGACTCTGCAATGGTACACGATTGGTTGTGACCAAACTCTCCAATCATGTTCTCGAGTGTAAAATTCTTACTGGCGATCATGCAAGTGATAAAGTTTTGATACCTTGAATGACCATAACTCCTTCGGATGTTAGAGTACCATTCAAATTCCAAAGAAGGCAGTTTCCCATTATGGTTTCGTATGCAATGACTATAAACAAGAGTCAAGGTCAATGCTTATCTCATGTTGGCTTATTCTTGAAGAAACCAGTTTTCGTCATGGCCAGTTATATGTCGCTGTCTCCCGTGTTACTAATAGAAAGGGTCTGAAAATTTTAATTTGTGGAGAAGAAGGTTTGAAAGCAAATCAAACCAATAATGTTGTGTATAAAGAAGTGTTTAATAATATATGATTTTATATTTTTGTACTTTGTATTTCTCTCTCTTTTTTCTCTATTACAATCAAATTATTAATTTATAAACAAAAATATTAAAAAAAGTTTAGAAAAAGAGTTTGAGGAAATAACCCCACCGTACTGCGCACTGGTACTACACTATATTTCCGAAAACGTATACAGTCCGTGCATCGTACGGGTTACGTACTAGTATAGATAAATAGTGTATGTATTTGAATGATTCACACTGTTTAGAGATATTATTGGGATATGTGGATAAGTCACATTAAAGAGATAAGTATAAGTCTTTATGGAATATCTATCACAATTGGATCCATAATTATCATTACATAATTATGCGAATCTTGAATTAAAAAACGGTTGTTTGGTATAAAATAAAGTTCACGTCATTCACAGTTCAGAAAAAATGAAAAAAAGTTCATGTCATTCACAGTTCAGAGAAAAAAAAAACGAGATAAATTTTACATAGAAAAAAAAAGATAAATTTCAGAACACATAGATAATATAATGCCG